GTGCGTCTTGCGCCTCCCCTGTTACATGCTGGGTTTGAAGCGATGGTCATCAATCTTGCAGGTTGCCGAAGAAAAAAACGGTAAATCTACTGTGACATACATATATGTAAGGAGAAGTATCATTTTATGTTCATGTTCGTGCGCCGGCAAATCTTGCTCTCGTGGCGGCGCATCTTTTTCTCACGCCTCCTTCTCGGGGACACGCAGGGGGGGCGCGTCGGTAGAATACCGCGCGCGCCCGAGGACCGCCAGCCACTCGTGGCACGTGCAAGCGACGCCTCTATCACGTCACCGCCACTGGCTCTATTTCGGGGGGATGTTTTTTGCGCGCGATGAAAGAAAGCTGACCGAAGCACATGTCGAAAACCAGACGAAAAAAGTGCAATCAACCCGCAGCCGTTGGATGAACCAAGCGCATGTATATGTTAGTTTTTCGTCTTCATTTCAGTGTGCATGGCGGATAATGCGCCAGCAGAGGGCTCTGCAAGGCACACAGGAAGGAGGCTAGTTGGTACAGTTCCCATACGTGCCCGTGACTCACCACGCTGCCAACATTCCCGACAAAAAATTGGGGATCACCGGCCCCAATTTCCCGATTCCGGCCGGGGGCGTTTCACGGAGGAAATTTAGTAGATACCCCGAACTGATCACGGGGCGATGACCGTCAAAAATACCCGCCGGTCATGCGAGCACGTCGGCAACACCTGCCGGGAGTCAGTGCTGCCTTGAACACCTACAGAATTCAATCGTCCATGTACCGAGGCGTGCCAAGGGTGGTTAGTGGTGCTGCTACTATACTGCTGCCACTGCCCCTTGGACTGCTGTTTTTCAGTAGCTGCCATCACGCCCTCTGTTTTGGCACTCCTCGTATATAACATACCAGATAAAACTGAACTGAAAGCTATGTACATGTGGAGCCCCTCGTATATATATGTATTTGTACCATTTCGCCTGTTTTCGTGCTTCGGGACATGTTTTCGCTGGTGGAAGTGAACCTTTTCGCACGCTTCCTTCTCGGGGGCAGGGGGGTCGTCGGTACATTACCGCAGGAGGACCGTCAACCACCCGTGGCGCGTGTACCCGACGCCTACAGTTGAAAAAATGGCTCTTTACCCGCGGGACGTGTTCCGCGCTAAGGAAGCCTTCGCAAGAAATTAAAACAATATGATTTACATACATAAACATGACTTTTGATTCCTGCGCAACGCACACAAGTCCCATTGACCATGGGCAACACGAATACATAAGAACGAGTGATCAAACGCAGCGGACTACAGCAGTAGGACCTGTAGCAAAGACGCCACTCGCCTAAAAGCTCACATTCACGCACACGCCAAAGGTCACGGCGAGAAAGACAAAATACCCCGCACGTACATGATGCAAATTTTCAGGCAAATTCTGCAGGTTGTACGCAACACCGGCGCTCACCACCCGAACGTCATGGCGTTGATATGCAAAGATGCGACCGCGATGACATTGGCGGTGTCCTCTTGCGTCGCACCCGGGAGGCAAGCCACCTGACTCCCGAAGGGAAGCCTTGTGCACTTGCATAACATACCAAGCAAACCTGAAAATCTAAGTATATATTTGACCCGTTCTCTCTCTCTCTCTCTCTCTCTCTCTCTATCTATCTCGCGCGCGCGCTTTTTTTTCGCAACCTGCTTGTTTGTCGTGTTCCCGCGTGTGACCATGAAAAAAAAAAAGGCGGCAGACCTCGGGGACCCCGATAGCTACTTCTACCTGGCCTTGCTGCAGTCCGCGGGGCTCCACGGGGGCGAGGCCGGGGCCGGGAAGGACCAGGCGCGGACGTGGGCTCTTTGCGGCACGCACGCCGCCAATACAGACGCCAACCTTCTGCTCGGGTAAGGACAGAACACAACACAACGGAGAGTTTAATATGGGTATAGAGTAGGGGCGATGGGGGCGGGGCGGGGCTGTACACATGTAAACGCGTGCCGTAGTCGTTAGACCATCCATTGAGCTCGCACCCCTACAAAGCCGGGACGGATACCAAGTTCTCAGCGGACCAGGCTCTCACATCACCAAGCGCGAAGCGCCGTGAGGTATTTGGGGTGCGGGGGGTGGGGGGAAGAAACGCGGACGCGCGGGGCAAGGGTATGCCTATGCGGCCGGTGTGGCTTGACCTTCTCTTTCATCCGCTGTGTGTGTGAGAGTTGAGGTGTGGTTGTTGTCCCCTTTATGCTCGGGGTTTGCGAAGGGAGGGTGTTTTGTTTGGTAGAAGCGTACCAGGGCGGCAGTACTGTAGGGCAACAGGGCGCCGGCTTGTCCCTCGCGTTTTTTTAGTGTTGGCATTTCGATCTCTTTGATGGCCTAGCCACGTTTGTTTTGTTTTTCGATCTGTCTCCTTTTTTTTTTTCTGTGGGTCCATGTTGCTCCCGTCGCGCTCTCTGCGGTAGCTATGAGGCGCCCCCAACCAATCGAACCACCGCCCCAACGTATAGCCATGATAGCCATGTTCCAAACGGCTGTATACATCCTCTCGATGCAGCAGGCGAAAACAAGCCATGTGGCAGAACACGAATCCCGGGCCTTCGCAAGAACGAAAGGCAAGAGGTAGGTAGGTCCTTCCTTCAGGCACACATTTCGCGTCACCCCCCCCTACCCGCATGCATATACTAACTACGTACGCCGGTGCAATTAAATATTGCTTCTATTTTCTGTTGTTGTTGTTGTTGTTGTTGTTGTTGTTGTCAGGTACCGTTTTCTTGCTGGCCTCGAAGAGAGAAAAGACGGAATCACGTGCAACGAGGCCGTCCATTTTTACCAGCTTGCCGTGGATGAGCTTCGCCTGGTGAGCGCCGGGCTAAGGTCAAGATTACTCTTTTTTCATACGCTTGGGATATATGTATACTCCTGTATTTTTGTTGCGCCGGATATTTTTTCAGAAGTCTTGAGCTAGCGTGCCGAGCAGACTCGGGCGTATGTGCCACGGGAGGGGTGGGGATCTCTGCTGCTGCCGCTGCCGCTGCTGCCGCTGCCACAGCTCATGTTTGTTTCGTTAGCTTCAGCGTTCTGCGGTTGAGGTTAGTTTTTGCCGCTGGTGCAACGATCGGACGTCAGCCTCCCGACCCGTGCGCCCGTGCCATGTGTGTCTGACTCCTCAAACACGTGGCCCTACGCAGCCACACATCCGAATACGTTCACACCACGATACTGCTGTTGGCATAGATTGGATACTCCGCTGCTCTTGTGGTTTCCTGCTTGTTAGCCACAACCATCGCCGCCGTCCCTCGGTTAAACCACAATCCTCGCCTCTTGCCTACCCCCCCCCTCCCCCACCCCTCTCGTAACCGCTCAAGGCACGTAATCCATGAGTACCCCCCCCCCCCCCCCCCCGGATAGAATGGTGCAATTTTTTTTATGGGG